GCTCCGAAAAGCTGGGCACCCCGCTGACGCGGCCCCTGAATAGAGCGTCGATGACGCTCTTCGGCGGGGGGCGGGGGGTCTCGTGGGTGCGGCAGGAAAAGCCGCGCCACACTACGAGGCGTTCGCCGCTCATGCGTGCGCGGTGCTCGAAGGCGCCGAAGAGCGGCACGGCCCTGAGGACCAGCCGTTCCACGGAGCAGAACATGCCCCCCGCCCCGTCCTGCCCGTCGCCGTCGCCGCCGCCGCCGACGTTGCTGCTCATCCCCTTGCCGAGGACGGCGGAAAAGGGCACCTGATGGTGTTGTGTTGTCCAGTCGATTCGAGAGGAGCCGAGAGGGAAAAAAAAGAAAGGGTGGTCGGGAACTGAGGTCAGGGGGGTCCTTAACGAGAACTCAACTGATCTTAACGCTCCTGGGTACAACCTGGAGCACGTCGCATGCATGGCCCGGGAGCAGCGTGCTCATTCAACTGGCAGCGGCCCACGCTGACAGAAGCGAATCCAGGATTGCGTGTTGCAGGGGGACGGAGCACTCATCATCCAAATGTCCTTGTCTTCTTTCTTGTATACATGTATGTCGCTTCTTGCGTGTATAAACAAACGTCGTCAGTCATGACAAAAAACGCAGCGTTCCGGCGGATCGCATGCACGAAGGGGGAGAAGCACAGCGTAGAACAACACTGTTGTTTACAGTTTTTTCATGTTGTACCCGAATCTCTCCCTCTCCCATTCAGATAGTAGTGATCGGACCAACCCCTCCTTGCTTCCGCCCTCGCCATCACCGCTGCTGCCGTGGGGGCCCGGGTAGTTTCAATAAGAGTAGCGCTCCGCATTGAACGAACTGCATCATGCTTAATCATATTCTGCTCAACGTTGCCCCCCCCCCCTCCTATTGCGTTCGTCCCCCCTCTGGCCAATTGGCCGAAATCGTGGCAATAACTTTGAGCATGGGAGGCGAAGTGGGCAAACAAGAAGAGGGGTAGACAACTCTCGGAGTGGGCTAAGAGGGTGTAGATGACGTATGGAAGCAGTTCGAAATTGACGAAGTTGATACATTGGAAAAGGCCGATTTAGAGGTGTTCAAGAAGAATATATATTCGTTGCTTTTACCGAGAGAGCAACATCTAAGCAAATACACCAAGGACAAGAGGGTCTTGATGTGTACGGAATGTTGAAAAAAGGAACAGGGTTCAAGGAGTGCCTACATGGACCAATGAATGCAAGGACAAAGCTGGAATTTAGGACCGGGGACATTGGCCTTCGAGAACGTAGACGAAAATTTAGGAAGGTAGGCGATGAAGAGGACAAGTTCAAATAAATGTGAATGCGGCTCCGAGTGCGAAGACCGGGTTCATTTAGTCGTAGAGTGTTGTACAAGAAGGGGAGGGAAGTGTACATGACTGAACTGGGAAAAATAGAAGGTACAGGGGGATGCTTGAGGCATGAAATAGCCAGGAGAAAACGGTAGCTGTACTGGGGCATAGGAAGTGGGTTGAAAAGGCGGGAAGTGATATCGATAGGACAGATAGGCTAGGGCATCACATTTTTTAGCCACCTTCGGCAAAGTAGGAAGGAACGATTGGCCATCAGTGATCGGTCCGGTGGGAACAACGCTCTGTCCTCTCGAGGACGCGTGGTCAATGGTCTAACCGCTAAGGCATGCAAAACATATGAGCCCCCCCCCACACACACACCCGCCTTCGGCCAGAAGGTGACCCAGTGATTGTTTCCGACAAGATTTGGGCACGAACTTCGTCAACACACTGTCGAAACCTTGGAACACATCGATCTCTGTGGAGCATGACGTGCTCAACTGTTGGTGCTCCAGTAATCGTAGTCGTTGGGCATACTATACTTACTACGATGCCTTGCTTCATTCGTTGTTGTAATTTGGTCATTTCGGATTCTTGTACCCTAATTTACCTGCTTCACCCCGCGGGATTCTTCCCGCCCGCTTTCTGTCTCTTCCCTTTGACTACCCCCCTCCCCTGCTAAAGTTGACCCGGGTGTGTGTGCGTTATCCTTTCGTTTTGACGACGACGATTCCCCCCCCCCCCCCCCCC